TTGGGCTCCCCCGCCTACATCTCGTGAGTGTCGCGACTTTTGCCCCTCTTACCACGGCGGCTGCGTGTGTTACCCCCGGGGAGGAGAATGCGGTCGGGGAATCGCAGCCCTGCGCTGGCGCACGGTCTGTCACGGTGGCATTCCGGGACCGCGCTGCAAAATGTTTGTCCCTCCCGCCCGCCCCTCTCCCTTAGCATGCACAGGCGCAAGGTGCTCAGTGAAGAACCAGGTTTCTTCCGTCTGGCAAGCGCTCCGAAATAAATTACAGATGGGAGATGCTGGGTAATTGCCACACTTGAAAACCAGTTCCTGCAGCATGTTCCGTTTCGGCTTTTGGGTTCCCAGCTTTGTCACCTTCAGCGAGGAGCTGGATCGCCGTGTCATACCTGCTGCTAGTAACTGGAGAGAGAACCGCTGCTGTGACGGTATTTGCTAAAACTCACACTGGTATTTTTAGTTGAGGGCACTCCGTGGTGTGCAGGAGGGCACTGGTGCGGTGCCGCCCTGTGTTTGATACGAAGCGCTAGGCAGTGTAATGGGCCAGAGGCAGAGATGCATAAAGGAGTGCTGTCTGCTCCAAAACCGCCTAGCTGTTGAGAAGGTGGAAAGGAAGATGCTGTAGCTCCTCTTGGATGTAAAAGGCTTGAAAAGATTTACTTTTTCTAAGGAAGGCCTCCTGAAATGTTTTGTTTCTAAGGATATCTGGTATCTTTCATGGGCATTGTGTTGTTAATAGAACAAAATGGATTTCCTGTTACATAAGACCACAGTGGAGTATGTTCCAAAAGACTTCAGAAATGGATGAAATAAAACCTTCTGTGTAGCCTAGTAAGTTCGTAAAATGGAAGTCCTTCCCAGCTATACTGCTCGAAACACAGTGCTTGCCTTTTACATAACGCCGTTTAGATACAGTCAGCAACTTTTAAAAATACATTCTCTGTAATTAGCTCCTGGGCAGTACAAAATAGGTTCCTTCTCTTCGTTTTTTTCAGAAATGTGGGAGATTGACTTGGTTTTAGACTCTCTTGAAACATCTTATGGTTGTGATGCTTAAGACCAAGCAACACTTTTCTAAATGCAGTTTCCAGTGAGCACTAATTTAGGAGTTCATAGGCCAAGAACTCTGGAGAAACTTAGATTTTATTTTCTGTAAGGCAATTTTTAGTGAAAAGATTAGTTAAAAGGTATTTTTTTCGTTAAAATCCAAAAGCAAAAATATCAGCCAACAAAGCTTCAAAACCTTAAAATAGTTGTGTAGGAATTATGTAATATTTTGTGTCTGACTTAGGTCACTTTTCAACTTACATAATTACTTTCTAAAACCCTTTTTAAAACTGGTTTGGGATTATATTTTAAATCTGCCATTATGCAACTATGGTGAATAAATTGATAGTAAAAGCTCTTAGAACTGTGGAGGCAAGACTAGCAAATCAAATATGAATAATGCGGTTTTATCGTTCCAATTTTTTTTATTCCAAATCTGGAAAATTAATTTTTTAAAATATTTTTGTAGTGTGTCTACCCTTTTTCATGTTGGAAGGTGGCTTTAAATGTATCTGAATGTGAAAAGTTACCTCCTGGATGTTAGCACCATGCAGTGTTTTGTTTGGGGGGTTGGGGTTGGTTTTTTTCAGTAACGGATGCATATGCCAGTGGTCCTTGGCTACAAGTTTTACATAAACAAAAAAATGTGTTGAATAACATGCACATGAATCCAATGCCAGTTCTGTTTTTTCCAATTCATGCTCAGTTAATGCTTTCCCTTTAGCTGTGTTTTTAATGCTGAAACATTTTTTAGGAGAAAATCATAATTTTGGGTGAAAATCTAATTTAAAATGCCTGTGATGTTGCTGCATGCCAGTGTCTTTCAGTGGCAGCCTGCAGACAGGTTCCAGCTCATGAAGCAGCCTGCTGGCAGGACAGGTGGGCCCCATCCCCTGCCCTTCCCTTTCTTCCTAACTGCAGAGCTGGTGTGTAGCATTTTCTCACACGCGTTTCTCGGCCTGCGAGCTTGCAGAGCCAGCAGTGAGGGTGCAGAGGAGACATGGGAGGACATGCTCTAGTGCACATGTTTCCATGGTCTCCTTCAGTTTCCCCTTTTTTGGGAGTGGGGTGTATGAACTCAGGATAGGCGGTATTGCCCCGGCTAGCCGGTACAGTGTTACGGAATCAGTCTGACAGCAACACATCAGGGCATCTGTCCTATCTCCTGGGATGGCTTTCAGTCTGGAGTCACACATGGGCTGCCTGACCATGCAAAAGAGCAAGAATCCTCTTCAGTGATTACCTTTCTTCCACAATCTGGCTTTCTTTTTGACTTGGTGCTACTAGGCTCCTGTCCGTATCTACTTAATGCAGGGCTAAACTGTGAAAAGATAAAGCTGGTTTACTGGAGTGATTCCTACTTTCGTTTTTGCTGCTCTGGATCCTGTACTGCAGTCAGGGTACTGCTGAGTGCTGTCCCCTGTGATCAAAAAACATGAAGACCCAAAGCATAAAGAACACTAGCCAGGGTGGCTGGTTTGTTCCTCTCCTGTTCGGTCTGTCCTCCTTGAAAAGACAGCTGAAGAGCCTGCTTTATGAACTAACAGTAGTGAGACTTGCTTCCTAGCATTGAGCACAAAACAGTTTTCGGCTGTTCATCAGCTGCAAATACCCTCAAATGGCTTTTCCTCTAAAAGCTGTGGTTTCTGGAAGAGGTCAGGAGCCCGAAGTGGAACATACTGTGCAGGGCGTTAGTTTGGTGTTTATGCAGGTGTTTCAACAACAGATCCAAGCCTGAAATGTCTCAGAAAGGTACTGAAAAAGAAAAAAACTTGCCGCCTTCTATTGTGAAGTAGATCAGTGTATCATTTCTGCATTGTCAGTGACTGAATTGTTCAAAGTGAGAAACAACAAAGTACTGGGTCAGGCTTCTGTTCAGCAGAAAAGGTAGTCATGAAGGAGTGGGACAGATGTCTGTGTTCTGCAAGGGAAATCACCTCCTGTCCTTCCAGCTGTTTAACATGGCAGATAGGCTACCGAGTGAGTGACCCATTGGGCATGTTCCAAATCTGTTTTGTTAGGATTTAAGTTCTGTGTTACCTTGGCCATGGTTGGTCATTACTGTTCGTCTCTGTGCTTGCCTGAAAGAAAATACATTGGAAAAAAAACAAACCCAGAGAAGGATGCTCAGCTCAGATTTTGGTCTGTTCATGCATGAAACCAGGACAGTTTTACGGATATGCAGGTATCTGCCTGTCAGGTCTTGCATAATTCTGTAGTTTATTTTCTTTCGTTTGCATCATTCTCTGTACTCACTGTCAGTGTGTGCCATGCAGCAGGTGTGAATTTCAGTGGAGACGTGCTGGAGGTTGTAGCCGCTGGGTTAGACCTAGCAGATGGGGTGTGCCTGGCCGTTGGTGTGAAGTGGTGCGGCTGCAGCTGCGCTGCTGCCTGCTGTCACATTGCTGTGGTACTGGCCTGGGCCACGGCTCAAAGCCAACGCAAGGGGAGGGGGAAACTCCCTGGTCAATGCCTGCTGCGATTTCAGGCAGGCACAGCTGTTTCTCTTCTCCTTCCCCCGTGTTCATGTTCGCCTTCAGCTTCAGCTTTGTCCCTGCTCCTGCGGGGGGGTTGGACTAGATGACCTCTAGGGGTCCCTTCCAACCCAAAACATTCTATGATTCTATGATTCTAAGTCTTTAGTGGGTTTTATACACGGGGGAGTTCCTTTTCTAGAGATACAAAATCTTCCCCAAAATCCAAGTTTTCTATGCCATGTCACCAGCAAGGGCCCACCCAAGGCTCTTAACGTAAACAAAATTAAGCAGTAGTTTTACAAGTAAACGTTATCTGGCTGTTTCCAGTAAGTCAGACAATCTGGATTAAAGTTCATCGTAAAGCCCTAGTCTTATTCCCTAAAGTTCTCTTAAATGCTATGTGATGAAATATGATAATTAAGTTGAAATGTAATAGTTGGTTGCAGGCTTTTGTGTTTGCAGTAGACCAGCTTTGGAAAGTTCACCACAGATGATAGAAGCAACTTTTTATACTTCTAGTGAGCTGTAATTGCACAAGTCAATATTCAGACTAGTAGATGGAAGAAGTGAGTGTTGGCAGTATATAAAAAACGTTGCCAGTATTTTCACTGCTTCTCTAAATTTTCCAGACCTAGCCTGTTTAAATGTAGCTCCACCCATAGCCAGTGGTGGTTAACTGCCTCAAAAAAATTGGAGAGTGCAAGCAGGAAGGGAGCCTTTGATGACTAAGAAATGCATGCAAAGGGTTGGAAATTTCAGAAGTGCTGTTATATTTGGTTTAAAAATTCCAAAGATGAAAATATCTTTGGGCAGTAAAATGTCTGAACTTATTACTGGTGTCTTCAAGGGAAAAAAGCAATGTAGTATAATCATGCCTCTCTACTTTGGCTAAGTTTATGCTGTTACTTCAGTTTAGCTGGTTTTACTATGCAGGTGCTGCATTTTACAAACAGGAAACAATCTAGATTGATTGTAGAGAAGTATAAACACACAATTCAAGTCTTAGTTTGAATATTGCCATAGCTTGTTGATTCTGTCTCCTAGTTCCTTTGCCTCTTCCAAACCTCTAAAACAGCAACACTGCTTTTCTTTGGTCACAGTTGTTTAGAAAATGTAAAATTGTTCCTGTATTTGTTGAGAGCGAGGGTGGCAAATACGCTCTCTCTTAACAGGTTCTGAGGGAGCATTCTTACTTTTTTCCTTCATGGAATACACTGCATCATATGCTGCTGTTCGGAAGTAATGCTCTGCTGCTGGTTCATGGAAGTGATTTGAGAGAGCCGGTGTATCTAAACAGGTTGATAATGCCCAGTATAATATAAGCAGAAAGTTTCCAAATCCGTCTGCACTTACACTGTTTCCTTTCACAGCTGATACTCTTTTCATGGGGCTTCAGACTAAAATATACACTAAAAGTGTATTTTGACATTTTTGTATTTGTTCTGCTAAATCAATTCCTCCAAACATATTTGCTTTTTGTCTTTTAGGTTTTAGAGTGCCAT